TTTATTTAAATTAAACTCTTTTTTTATAAACAAATTATTTATTGCTACAAGGATTAAGTTAGTAGCAAATGAAGAAACAGAAGGTTTCGTCTACCTTTCTACATCAGTGGATGTGTCCCTATAGATGCTGCATTAAGTTCCCCTGGAGATCATTGAGATAAGTACTTACAACTATTTTCTCTAACATGCTGATGATAAATGAAAGACACTTAAGTCATCTGCAACTTTCTAGTTAATCTAGGCTTTATATATTAAGACCAAATATCAAGAACTCATTTAAAGGGAATACTGTGAAAGGCTTACTACAGCACCTATTCTGTCTCTTTCTCTCTTTCACTCTTTCTCTTTTTCTCACTCTCTTTCTCTCTGTCTCTCTGTTCTCACTGATCATTGGTGCTGCCCCCTGCGGGTAAGGGATTTAGAATATTCCCGCAGTAGATATGCTTGTCGTAGAAGGCGACTAAAATTCCGGTGCCAATCCGGTACTTGTTTAGGAAGTACGTATGGTAGTAAGTGAGCACGGCACTTGCGCCATCTGACCAGAGATGACACTATCTGGTACCACGGGGGTCAGTGGCCCGACAGCTTCGGCTGTGCTGACCATTGGTGTAGGCCTCGTGGTGGCTGTGGTTGATACCCAAACTTACGCGGGAAGAATTGTGCTTGTCATTCATTCGCCGTGGAGTTGCGGTTTCACCACCGGGTGCTACAGCCCACATTGTATCAGAGGTTGTAGGTAGGCCTCGCATTATACCAAGATGGAAGTTATGACCTATACACATTTCTTCATTGGTACCTGAGGAATTGAAGCAGTTTCCAAAGGGGCGCTTATTGACGCTTTGTATCAAGACGTTTTGCTTTTGAGCAACGTGATGTTAGGCCATTGCAGACAGGTAATCACGTTAAACACACAGAGACATTGATCATTGGTGCTTAGGAATCAATCAAAACACATTATACCTATAACATTAACTGTAGAAGTTGTGAAAACTTACAAGAAAGAGACAAAACTAAACAACAGGTTTTTAGGGAAGCACTTTTTGATAGTCAGTTAGATCATTTATCGGTTAGGAAGTAAGATCTAATATTGTTCATGCTTAAATCGCGCAATTATAGTTGGTTTGTTTTTGTATTTTTTATTTGCATAATATACTCTTTTTTTTTACAAACTCTTTTCTACAAACTGTTAAGGACGACACACCCTTATAAAGGCCAACTAAGTACGTATTATCTTACGTAGATGTGTTTTGTTCTCTATTTTTATGTATTCGTCTATTTTACACATGATTCCTACTTGACCAAACTCTATCAAATTTTGATCAATTTCAAAATTATACCGTTTTAACAAACCAATCTGATACCACTATTGGTTTGATTTTTATATCTAATACATCTATCAGACATTTACATATACTATGATATTTAAAAGTAAGAACTATACAGATTGATGGCAAGAGATATTAAACGGAAGTAAAATGTTCCAATTAAATCCAATTTCTCAGTAAAATTTTCTAAAGAGCATATATAATAAAAATTGACTTATTTACTACCAATTCCAAAAAAAATGTATTTAAAAACTGTTTTAGTTATTGTGTTATTTCTTACCGTAAATGTATTATTACGAAAAGGACCTACTTTAAAGATGATACAATGAATTTTGATAAATAATATGTATATATTTTTTATTTCACTGAGACTGATTCCCGGTACTTTTATAACATAGTAAAAATCTTGACTAGTTGAACGATATGAATCTCAAAGACTAATTCATTTATTTGTTTTAATGCAACTCAATTTCGATGGTTCACATTTAAATATATCTGCTTAACAATCTGAGTTTGTACGGTCTCTTAGGTTAGGTTAGATGGAGTGGAATGAGGAAAGAGTGCTCCGTTTTGAAAGAGCTTAAATGCCGTTTTGATTATGGTGTGTATAAATTCGATTATGGTATCTTACTTTACTATAATTTTTGATATTTTCAATTAAAACCATTGTCGCAAAACAAAATTTTCAAAAAGTCAAATAAATATTTTTTGAACAATTATTATAAAATAACCATTTATTAATTACAACTTTTTATAATAATTTTACATTTGTTTATAATTTAACTTAATTTACTATTATGATTTAAATTTTACCTTTATATACATACGAATATAATACTTTTAAGTGCATTTCGAATTCCAGTTCTTTAATTACCAACTATCGAATTAATTTTAACATAAAATATTAGTTTAACAAATATAAAAGCAAAATTGCACTGTGAAATTGAAATTTTTGACTTAATTCTAATTTAATTTGTACGAATAATGTTATCGAGTCGATCGTTTGATTATGTGTTGATAGTGTGAGGTTTTAACGAAAGTACATTTCAGATATTTAAGTATATGCATTAAAAATTCATATACCAAAATACAATAATAATTACAAAAAAAAAACTAATGCTACTCAATCATATTAAACAGCAAACACGAGAATATCATGCCAAATATCTGTAATTTCAATAATTAATATATATTAATTATTATAAATACATATTCTACAACAATTAGTGCTTACCATTATAATTGCCACACCAATGGCTGTACCTCCTATAACCGAAGCATGATCTCTAATAAAGTTTGTAGCAACATATAGGCAGCCTTGATTGTAGAGATTTGTTACGCTGGGAAAGATGGTGCACTCTCTGCGTTGTCCAGCAAATATTTCCTGACAACATGATTCTGGTATGGGACCATAACGATTCCAGTCATGCCACGTATCAACACCGCAGCACTGTAGACGTTCCTGTGTCTGATCCCACGCTTGTGTTATATCACGACGGCTTCCATAGAGTGCCATCGTAGAGCGCATTTCCTAAATTTGTAATAAAATTTAAGTATTGTGGTCATGATTTTGGGTTTTTTTTGTGTATTTACCTGTCGCATTGTCTGCTGCACTCTTTCACGGAACACATAGCCAAGTATGCCGCCAATTAACATTGTTACAAATACCAGTGCTACTATTATGAAATACTAACAAAATAAGATGTTTTGTTTACAAAACAATTCATTTTTTTTCTTTTGGAATTATTAATCTTTAACTTTGCTACTACTTACTGTTAACAAAAGACACTTGACCTCTTTGCCAGCGCCAACGCAACCCAAAAACGCCAGCAAGCAAATCACAATCGAAGTAACGAGTAAAACGTACACTGCACCTGAGAAGAGATTTGTGCCCAATAATTCATTTATGAAACTACGATCGACCAACGTCCAAAGACTCAGTATGAACACCGTAGCACCGCCAACCTGTGAAGTGAAAATTCCATTCAAGTGACAACCACAATTGAAGATAATTTTTATTTTTATTTTATTATTTAAATGTCAATGACTTACAAATATAATAAAATTCGATATAAACAGACTGTACTTAACGAACTGTCCACAGCAGTCCATACGCGAACTGAAGCCCATGTCGTCCTAAAAAATAATAAATAAAAATAATGCATTTAATTTTTTTTTGATATTTAAATAAATATGAGAATAATTTATACTACAAATATAAAAATAAACTATTAATTAATAGTTAATTGAGAAAATAATTTACTTTAATTTTTTTTAAAATTCTTTTAATTAATTGACAATATAATAATTATATACCTATTATAATTTTGATAAAAAAAATTGTAATTTATTTAATTATAATATATATAATTAATTTTTTTTCAACTTCCTAATACAATTAGTTACTTTCATTTTTTATGTTTAAAGATTGCAATTAATAAATTACTTAACAATTATAATTTTATAATTAATCTTTACTGAACATCAATTTAAATTAATTTTAGTTTTGAATGATTAATTAATCAATTGAGCTTGAAATATGAGATCTTGGTGAACTGGTACCTGTGGCACAGTTTTGTTAGGTTTCATTAATATAATAACTGCAGCAATTCTTAAAGTATTTATTATTAATTCGTAATAAATTAATTAAATAAAATTGAGAAGCAAAAACCAAATACGCAAAAAAATATTAACAATCAAGTTTAATTGCACCCTTTAAACACGATGGTTTAAAACTGTATTAAGTTTGTAATGCGGTTTGCAGTTCAAAGAACACAATTGGAAGTGTCTTCATTTTATTCAGTAGAGCAAATAATAATCATGATTATTTTAGTAATACCTAATATCGACTCCATTTGTATCTCTCAACCATCAGTTTTATCCTTTCGGTTTCAAATTAATCAATTTTTTCATAAAAGTAAAGGAAAAGGCATGAAACTAATAATCCAATCAGGTGTCATATATCTACATTATATTAATAGATCTCTATTCTGTAATAATGTTAAAAAAAATAAGAGATTGTTCGAAAAGTAATATCATTTTATTCATGAAAGAAGACGATTTTTTGTTGTGAATAAATATATTCATAATACATATATAGTATATATTATATGTATATATATATATATTATATATATTTGCCATTTTTTCATTACAATGATTCCATGATTCCACTCTAAAATAATGTTTGTTCTTTGTCGGTAAAAGAACTACTAGTATTTGATCCTCATTTAAACTAAAGCTTTAACAGGCTAAGATATTTTGTAGAGATCAGGAGAAAGAATAATTGGAAAGTGCGGATCTGAGAAATATGATAGAGATGGCTTTTGGTGAATTACCAAATTTGTTTTTGAAAAAATGCCATTAATCCCTCTATTAGAAATCATTTTACGAATAACCCAATGGATGACAAATAATGATCTATATCGGCGCTGTCCGGACCAGATAAAAACGCGGGCTAATTCAAATCTCTGAATAGGTTGGAGGGTCGCAGAAATGAATACATACAATAGTTGTAGCCATACGAAAAATATCTTATTTTTAATTAAATGACTTACGGCATTGGATATGAGTTTTTTGAACCAGTTGTACAAAGAATTGTATACTAAAGTCTTTGTCAATTAAGTAGATTAACGTGAAGTATAATAAATTATTAAAAACATTTTAATTTATTTATTTACGTTACCATAAAAATAAAATAATGTAATGTTACTGAAATATAACAAAGAAAAATTTGCCTAATTGTGGTAGATTAGAAACATGTCGCATGTCGCACAAATATTAACCGCGGACCGCATAAGGCTTGTGCGCCATGCTTTGGACATCCCTGTTCTATATATTATATACGTATGTTATGTTATATGGTACATATATAATATATATATAGTTTTGTACTAGTATATATTAGCGGTAATATCAATATCTATTCTTTCATTTACTATCTAATATGCTTAAATTAAAGTTTTTTAAAAGAATTTCTAATACAGTTCAGATTTAATACATTTCATGAAGAATAACTTGTACCTCATGGGCAACTTTTTAGTAAAACATTCTGCTTGAAATAACCTGGCTATGTTGTCTTACTCTAAACACAAAATTATTTGGTCTTACCGTACATGTTTAAAACATATAAAAGGTAAAATTCAATAAAGTACACTTTTGTTTTTCTGGTTAACACTGGTTCAGACTCATAAATGTATCTTTTTTCTGTATGAAGTATCGTCTTGTTTAACATGTTGAAGCTCTTTATTAATACTTGTGCCAAAATCACGTCAGTTGCTTCTATTTTCACAACAATAAAAATTGTGTAAAATCAAATCTTACGATTTAATAAAAATATTTTCTTGTATGTTAATAATGGACTCTGTCGTGTAGAATGTTAATAAATTTATTTTTAATAAAACAAGAAGTGCTTTGAAAAGTACATGTAGAAAAATGTTGGACTAATTATTGTGTCAACGCCTAAACACACATCCAAAGTACTCTGATGTGTATTAAAAATTTTTAATCACATAAATAAGTTTAAAAGGAACATATAGGTATGTAATTTATTTATATCTTATCTTTATCTATATATATATATATGTAGATATAGATCAAAGTTGATCAAAGAGGTGTTTTTTGCATAATTAAGCACCCAACATACTCCGAATTGTATATATAAAAACTTTTCCCGGTATGAAAAACTTGGAATATATGTATATATTTTAGCTATATTTAATATGTTGGGTGCTTTAACAACATCAGAAGTTACTCCCAAAAATTGTTTGATATTTTGGACCAAAGAAATAGAGTTTGGAATATGACAGTAAACACACTCGAAAAAATGATTTGATTGATTTAATTATGATTTTAATTAAATCACAGGTCAAAATATTCTTACTCGATTCATCATGTTGGTTCAACCATAGTACCATAAGTTGGTTTTCATATCTACTGTACCACATGCGGTAAGGTTAGGTTAGGCTGGCAGACCAAAAAGGCCACACGTAGCCCATCGAGGTCCATTGCAATATGAGATCAGAGTCTTAATTTTTTTTAGAGATAGTGTGCATCACTTAGGATGCACGTGTTATTAGCAAATTTTATTAGGATTTGAACAGAAACCTCAGGTATGTGCTCCAGTCCACCACATGAAGTAAAATTCTCTAACAAAATGATGAGGTCAATTTAACAAGTATGTGGTTAGAGCATATTTTTCTGAGTGCAATATTTTAAGAAACCTACTAAAAAATTTTCAGTAAAATTGAAAATAATAATAGACACACAGGGAATTATATTGAAAATGAAAGACAGACCCGCGTATGCGGGTGTTGACAAAACAAAATCTAATATTTTTTAAACTAGCTTAAAAAAACTTATAGGGAAGGAAGTATATATCTAAGCTTGTTATCAGCAATATGATGATATGACAAAAATATATAGCGAACCATAAAAATTAATATTACTATTGAACTCATAAAATAGTTAAATAAAATTTAAAAAAATATATATATCTCCGGAACATTTCCTGTGTATGTAATTTTGTGTCTATTATATGAAAACCATTAATAAGTGTATTACTAATTAAGCAATTTTTCAAAAAATGACAAAAATTCAAATATTGAATAATTAAATAATTTATTATTTATCTACAGTGTCAACAATTTCGTGGTTATTAAACCCAATTCCACTTTTAAGTATTTTTCAGATAATTTTAAGTAATACGCCGATGTAGCAAATGTTAAGTGTTCGAACGTTCACACTAATTGCGAAAACCTTGTCACTTCGCGGGTTTAAAGAAAAAGTTAACAAAAGTGCTAAAATTAACAATAATGACAACAACAATGATTATTATTGTATTTTATATTTTCAAAACTGCCTTTTCGATAAAATAAATGAAAATTATTGTTCTGACTTTTGTGGTTGTAGATTTTGTTGTGGCGGCAAATTGTGCTAAATTTAAATTCTAACCGCAGTATTTAACAATTAGTGTAATTATTTTTAAGTGTACTATTCTGTTCTTAGAAAATTATTTTCTGAGTAATAAGTAATTAAGTATTTTTACTTAAGTAATTTATTAAACATTAAGATTTTTTTTAAATAACTACTTTTAAGAAAATTATATCTATTACTATTGCGAATGAATGATACTCGCATATTTAGTTTAACAAAATGTTTCAATGAAAGTGAAAGAAGCATCGAAATATATACAAACTGTATAGGTTTTCGATCAACGTGATAAGACGATTAGATCAAGTCATGCTTGGTTGTTAGATTACCGAAAAATCAATTTCAGGTTTTTCGTGAATTGTATGAAACTAATAAGGTTTCCTTACTTGAATCGATTTGGGTTCAATTTGAGCACGACTTGAATACGACTTGAACACGACTTGGATTTGACTTGGACTCGACTTGAACACGACTTGGGTTTGACTCAAACTCGACTTGGATTTGAGTTTGAACTCAACAATTTTTCCTTATTTGTGACCCTACTCGTCGAGTACTAAAAAAATTCAGGTTTCTGAAATATTAGACCCCCAAAGTAAAACTTTATGTAAAATATTTATATGCATCCTGACAGATCAAGTCGAAAAAAGAATAAAGTTAGTTATTTGTAATTATTTATTGAATTTGACTTGAACTCGACTTGAACACGACTTGGGTTCGACTCAAACTCGACTTGGACTTGGATTTGAACTCAACAATTTTTCCTTATTTGTGACCATACTTGTCAAATTCTAAAAAAATTCAGGTTCCTGAAATATTAGAAACCGAAAGTAAAACTTTATGTAAAATCTTTATATGCATCCTAACAGATCAAGTAGATAAAAGAATGCAGTTAGTTACTCTTATTTATTTATGTGATAGAAAAGTAGTCTGTGGTTTATAAGTGTTTTGAAATAAACTTTAAATTGCAAGTTTTTGAAGTTTCTGACGGGTGTAGTCTATAAATCAATGGCATAGGTTGATTATACTATATAGTATCTATACAAAATAACTGCCATTATTTAATTCACATTTTAAATTTAAATTCATTTGATGTAAGTCTAGATAACAGTCTGTTAAAGTAGATAACGGAAAAGTAGTATTTGTGCAGAACATTGAAATTTCAACTCCATCCATATTTTGTATGAATATTTTTATTTTTTTATTTT